GGGTCCCCGGGGGGGCCCAACCCCCATTTTGGGGGTGTCAGGGGGGGGAGGGGGGGTCGGACCCCCCCTTTTGGGGGGCACATTTTGGGGGGGGTCCAACCCCCTCCTGAGTCCATAAAGTGGGGGGGACCCCAAAATGTCCCCCCTCATCTTGTCGGCCATCTTGGCCCCCCAACTTGGCCGCCATCTTGGCCACCACCTCTTCCATCTTGGCCACCATCTCCTCCATCTTGTCGGCCATCTTGCCCCCCCATCTCGCCCATCGTCTTGGCCGCCATCTTGGCCACCACGTCTTCCATCTCATCCCCAATCTCGGCCACCATCTTGTCCCCAGTCGGGACCACCATTTTGACCATCATCTTGGACCCGATTTTAACCACCTTGTCAGCCATCTTGTCCCCCCATCTTGTCCGCCATCTTGACCACCATCTTGGCCACCATCTTCTCCCCAGTTTTGGCCACCATCTTGACCATCTTGGCCACCATCTTGGACCCGATTTTAACCACTTTGTCAGCCATCTTGTCCCCCCATCTTGGCCGCCATCTTGACCACCATCTTCTCCCCAGTCTTGACCACCATCTTGACCACGACCTCTTCCATGTCGTTCCTGATCTTGACCACCATCTTGGCCAACTTGCTCTCCCATCTTGACCATCTTGTCTCCCATCTTGTCAGCCATCTTGTCCCCCCATCTTGCCCATCTTGGTCACTGTCTTCTCTCCAGTCTTGACCACCATCTTGGCCACCATCTTGTCATGCATTTTAACTACCTTGTCAGCCATCTTGTCCCCCCATCTTGACCACCATCTTCTCCTCAGTCTTGACTACCATCTTGACCACAACCTCTTCCATCTCATCCCTGATCTTGACCACCATCTTGGCCAACCTGCCCCCCCATCTTGTTGGCCATCTTGTCCCCCCATCTCGTCCATCATCTTCTCTCCAGTCTTGACCACCATCTTGGCCATGATCTCTTCCATCTCATCCCAGATCTTAGCCACCATCTTGTCCCCCACCTTGGCCATCTTGACCACCATCTTGGCCACCATCTTCTCCCTGTCCTTGGCCACAACCTCTTCCATTTCATCCCCGATCTTGGCCACCATCTTCTCCTCGGTCTTGACCACCATCTTGTCCCCCATCTTGGCCATCTTGACCACCCTGTCCCCATCTTGTCCCCCCGTCTTGTCGGCCATCACGATCCGCCATCTTGCCCATCATCTTCTCCCCAGTCTTGACCACCATCTTGTCCCTCATCTTGGCCACTTTGTCCCCCATCTTGCCCACCATCTTGACTGTCTCGGCCACTATCTTGTCCCTCATCTTGGCTACCTTGTCCCCCATCTTGTCAGCCATCTTGTCCCCCCATCTTGACAATCTTGGCCACCACCTTGTCCCCCATCTTGACGATCTTGTCCCCCATCTTGTCAACCACCTCATCCCCCCATTTCACCCACAACCTCTTCCATCTCACCCCGTTTACCTCCCCCACCATCTCCCTCCACCCACCACCCAACCCCTCCCCCCAAGAACAAGACCCATTCCTTGCCACCTCCTCAACCTTCCCGACTCCCCCTCAACAACAGTTTCCTCCCAGCTTCATAATCATCCTGGTCCACGCTCACCAACAGCCTCACGTCCTCGCGACCCACGGCGCGGCGCAGCCCCTCGGTCAGGAACACCCCTTTCAGGGCCTCCAGGAGGGACCCGTTCAGATAGTCCCCCCAAAAAGCATCCAGGTAAGAAAGCTCCGAGAACTTGATGTCACACAAGATGGAACCCAAATCTCGGGCCTTCAGGACCCCACTGGCCTGACCAAACACGTCCAGCTGGCGGCCCGGCCCGCGGGGTCGCGTCGACATCACCCCCCGGCGAAGGGCGGATTCGTGCTCCGTGAACTCGGCCCGGACGCGCAGGCGGATGTCTGGGGGGGGGAGAGGGACACCAGTGACACCAGTTGCACCAGTTACAGCGGTCCCTGAGCAGCACAGGCAAGCCCTCAAGTTGATATGGAGAGAAACAGGCCCAGTGCGCCCAGTACTACCAGTTCACGAGCAGCCCAGACTTCTCTGCAAGCCTTGAATCAACTACTTAAGACCAAATAGTCCCAGTGCGCCCAGTAACACCAGTTCATGAGCAGCCCAGACTCCCCTGCAAGCCTTGAATCAACTACTTAAAACCAAACAGACCCAGTGCTCCCAGTAACACCAGTTCATGAGCGGCCCAGACCCCCCAACAACCATTACATGAACTATAGAGACCAAAGAAATCCAGTGCTCCCAGTAATACCAGTACATGAGCGGCCCAGACACTCCAGTAGTCATTAAATGAACTATATAAACAGGACCAGTGCGCCCAGTAATACCAGTTCACAAGCAGCCCAGACTCCCCTACAAGCCTTGAATCAACTACTTAAGACCAAATAGTCCCAGTGCGCCCAGTAACACCAGTTCATGAGCAGCCCAGACTCCCCTGCAAGCCTTGAATCAACTACTTAAAACCAAACAGACCCAGTGCTCCCAGTAACACCAGTTCATGAGCGGCCCAGACCCCCCAACAACCATTACATGAACTACAGAGACCAAAGAAACCCAGTGCTTCCAGTAATACCAGCTCAGGAGCAGACCAGACTGTCCAGTAGGCACTAATTTAACTATATATACTAAACAGGCCCAGTACTCCCAGTAACACCAGTTCACGTGCAGCCCCGACCCTCCAGTAACTATTAAATGATCTACACACACCAAAAAGATCCAGTGCTCCCAGTAACACCAGTTCACGAGTGGCCCAGACCCCCCAATAACCACTACATTAACTATACAGACCAAACAAACCCAGTGTTCCCAGTAACACCAGTTCACGACTAACCCAGACACCCCAGGTAGCTCTCAGATGACGTACATTGAGGTCACAGACCCAGTTCTCCCAGTCACACCAGTTTATGTACTGGGACAACTGCCCCCAACTTCCTGGTAGCTCTGTCCTGCCGTGAGTAAGACCAACAAAACCAGTTTGACCAGCAACACCAGTTCCCACTACAGACAATTTCTCCAGTACTCCCAGTCCTCCTGTGCTGCTCTCCCAGTCCCTCCAGTCCTACCCTGGGCTGCTCTCCCAGTGTTCCCAGTCACCCCAGTCACTCCCTGGGCTGCTCTCCTACTGTTCCCAGTCCCCCTCTGGGCCACCCTCCCAGTGTTCCCAGTCCCATCCTGGGCTGGTCTCCCAGTGCTCCCAGTTGCCCCAGTCCTCCTTGGGCCACCCTCCCAGTGTTCCCAGTCCCCCCGGGCTGCTCTCCCAGTGTTCCCAGTCCCCCTGGGCTGCTCTCCAGTGCTTCCAGTCCCCCCAGGCCGCGTTCCCAGTCCCCCCAGTCCCTCCAGTCCCTCCTAGACCACTCTCCAGTGCTCCCAGTCCCCCCGGTCTCTCACAGACCACTCTCCGGTGCTCCCAGTTGCCCCAGGCCGCCTTCCCAGTGCCCCAGTCCCTCCCAGACCACTCTCCAGTGCTCCCAGTCCTCCCAGTCCCCTCTCCCAGTGCTCCCAGTCCCCCTGGGCTGCCCTCCAGTCCCCCTAGTTGCTCCCAGACCACTCTCCCAGTACTCCCAATCTCCCCAGGCCGCCTTCCCAGTCCCCCCAGTCCCTCCCAGACCACTGTCTGGTTCTCCCAGTCCCCCCAGTCCCCTCTCCCAGTGCTCCCAGTGCACCCACCGCAGGTGACCTTGGCGGGGGGCTGGGAGGGGGGGTCTCTCC